CCACGGCCACAGCAAGACACCCGAGTCGCTCAGAGCATTTCGGGCTTTAGGGGTTTATGGGTTTCTTAACTCCAGTGGGGTTGGGTTTAGGGTTTAGGGTTTAGGGTTTAGAGTTTATGGGTTTAGGGGTTTAGGGTTTTAGGGTTTAGGGTTTAATTAGGGTTTAGGGGTTTAGGGGTTTAGGGGTTTAGGGTTTAGGGTTCGGGGTTACTTGAACCGAAACCCAGAGTTCATGGTCGATGTGGGTAGCTCTCTGAAAGAGGGTCCCCGTCAGTATTCTTTTTGTACGGGTGCCGTGCTATTTGGGGGACCCGAAAATGGACCCTAAGTTAGAGAACAACCAACATGCGGACCCAGGTCATTTTGGCCACCACATTGAAGCATGTCCCTGTCGGAGTGCCGGTTCGCATTTGCACGAACCTCCCCTATATCAGATCCTCTAGTTTAGGATTTAGGGTGTGGAGGCGAAGTACGAAGCCTGTTGCAAAAAGGGTGTCCAAACCCTAAGCCCTAAACCTCAAACCCTATTCTAGGTGGAACGAGAGCAAGGACCGTTACATTGAACAAAAAAACCGAGCCCTGTTCTAGCTTAGTTTAGGATTTAAGGCTAAACCCTAAACCCTAAACCCAGATCCCTGAACCCTGAACCCTAAACCCTAAACCCTAAACCCAGAACCCAGAAGCCTAAGACCCTCTAGTTTAGGATTTCGGGTTCCCGGATCAGGGCTGAAGGCCAGAGTCAAGACTCGGAAGTTGAGTTCGAAAAGGGTTTAGGGTTTAGGGTTTAGGGTTAGGGGGTTTAGGTTTAGGGTTTAGGGTTTAGGATTCGGGCTTCTTAGTCAGGTTTGAGGGCGTAGGGCCTAGAATGTTCTAGGCTCTTGCCCCTATATCCTAGGTGATGGGTGCTCTCTTCCTCCAAGTCTCCCTTGACCCAAACGCCCCTACGCACTGAGAGAACCTGTGGACAGGCTTTAGCATGGAATCGGAAAACTCATGACTATGCTAGTAGTAAATAGTAGAGATTGGAATTGCAACGGCCACTTTCGGCCCTTCAAACCCTATACTCCCTATTCATGTCGAACCTTATACTCCCTATTCATGTCGAGCCTAACACTGAAGCCGAAATGCTTACCACTCTTTCGTCCTTCGGGTTCATTCTTCTACTTTCATATAGAGGGACCCAAAGCCCTAAACCCTAAACCCCTAAACCCTAAACCCCTGAACCCCTAAACCCCTAAACCCTAAACCTTATTCTAATCATTAAAGCACCGATCGTGGCTCCCTTCCGGTAGGCAGAGAAGCGAGTCCGCTCCATCAGGGACCGTGTCGCCTGGCCGCACAAATCGAAGGTTGAACCCATGGGCCCCTAACATGGGCCCTTAGGGGATTCTAGGGTCCCTTATAAGGGTATATATAGGGTATATAGTAGGTATATTTGGGTCCCAGGGTTAAGGGCCCATACTAGGGGCCCATGGGTTCTAC